TCGGCACCGTCACGCCCCGTGCGCGCAACATTCGCCTCCGTCACGGTGTCGGCACAGTGTGACGTTACGGTGCGCCGTGACGATGTGACGGCCGCGCCGCAAAAACCGCCGCTGCGCCGCCGTCGTCGTCGCTCGACAAAATGGCGGCGGCGACCGATCGGAGCTGACGCTGGGGCGGCTCGGGCGGCTCGAGGCAGCTCGGACCGATCAATCGGGGTGGGCTGCGCGGCTCGCCATCCGTCTCCATCACGTGCGGTAGGCTGGGCTCGACCGGCGCGGCGGGCCGGAGGGACTGGGCTCGCCGCGGCGCGGCGGTGGCGGCGGCGGCGGTGCAGACAGACAAGGATAGGGAGATGAGGCGGAGAGGCGGGGATGAAGACGAGAGGGAGGGAGAGAGAGAGAGAGAGAGAGAGAGAGAGAGAGAGAGAGAGAGAGGGAGAGAGAGGGGGACGAAGACGGAAGACGGGAGACGAGAGACAGGAGATTAAAGAGAGGAGCCGGTCGTATTATAAATAAAGAATGAAAAGGGGGAGCAAAACATGAGTCGGGAGACACGAGATGTGGAGTAAGCTACCGAGAAATCAGCCTTCAATAGCTGAATTAAAGGTTGTCCATGGTTGGATCATGAATCCATGTGACTGGGAAGACGACACTGGAGGCAGGTAGACTTCGAACTGCCCAGGTGGACAGCCACAAACAGGGATGTCGGTGAGGGGAACAACAAGATAATTTACAGTAAGATGACGTAATGGTTTGTGGTTGCCATCGAGGCTACTATTTCTCAGTGTTTACTCATAAGCCGTAACTGTTGCAAAAAGATGGCTGATTGGGGGAGTGTGCAAACTGGATAGAAGCGCGGTGCAGTCGCTGTTAGCGGTTTATCCGAACCCGCTGCAAACCTCACTCGCCGAGTGACTGGCCATTCTCCAGATAAGTGCACGCCGTTCATGTGATTTGTGGTCGATTCAGCTGGACGGTGGCCAGGAGAGAACATGTCAGCTCGCTTATGGGAAGTGACGAAACATTGCTTCCTGGTATTCCAAGCGCTTTGTGGGCTTAATCATTTTTAACGCTGCATTTGCTTGAAGAGGGATGGCATTCCATCTGTTGTATGCCTTGGCGTTTAACATGCTTGAACATTATCTGCTTCTTAGTTTAGGATTTATCAAACTTATGGAACCGTGCGTACCTATATTAACGGCACTTCCCGACAAAGTCTCGATTGTGGCAGGCTTGCGGTTGTGTACGTTGACACATACACCCCGGTAATGTATGCGGAATCGGACGGCCCCGGCCACCCGTTGAGGAATGTCTGTCGGATGTTGGAGGGATGTTCAATGTCTGAGCCCTGCAGGAGTGGCACTCCACCAACAATCCAGCTGGCGAATGCCGGTGGCCGGTCGATGCCCAAATTTGATACGGTCGAACCGGCCCGTGCCGTTGGGTACGTGAATATTGAATAGGGGATGATGCAGTGTGGGTTCCGTACCCTAAAGTTTGACACATTTATCGCAGTTTACTGCAAAATGATCCGGGGGAGGCTCAGGGTCTTATCACTAGGAAACAGTGGCATTCACAATCAAATTGATCCTGGAGGCTGGAAATGCCGGACCTCGGTGCACGCCGTGACAGGAACAACTGCAGAAGCGGTGACGTTGGCAGCGGTGGCGGTGGTGGCCGGGCCTGGAAACAGAGACACCAGAGACCGAGCTGCAACACAGACAGAGAACAAAGAGCCTCTCTGAGACACAGCTGCCTTGGGAGGCGGGAGTGGGAGCTTCACGGCACGTCACTCAAACTCCTGTTCCTCCTCCGCCCCCGCCCCTCCCGACTGCTGAAGTGCTCTCGCCTCTCTCTCCCTCTCTCTCTCTCTCTCTCTCTCTCTCTCTCTCTCTCTCTCCTCTCTCTCTCTCTCTCTCTCTCTCTCTCTCTCTCTCTCTCTCTCTCTCTCTCTCTCTCTCTCTCTCTCTCTCTCTCTCTCTCTCTCTCTCTCTCTCTCTCTCTCTCCGGAACTCATCTGGTCTCCGCGGTGGGCGGCCAGGCCCCGTTTCATGAGAGCTCCCTTTTTGCCGGCGCCCGCCGCGGCCGTCGACTGACAATGCTTTAATTGGTGTTAGTTTGCTGTGCCGGCGGCCGCCTGCTGGGAGCCGGATAGGCTGCACCGCCGTGCCTCTCGGGTGGGCCCGCACGCACTGCCGGCCGGCCGGGCCGATTAGCACGCAAACCAAACACGATTAGGGCTGACGCTAATACGGGCCACATGGGAACTCGGCCGGCCGCCCGGCCGGCCGGCTGGCAGGCTGGCAGGCTGGGTCACGCAGGTCAGCTCGGCCGCCTGCAGCGTAGAGAGAACGGCCGCGCCTGGACGAGCCGTGCCGGAAGTACCGTAAACCGGGGTGAGTTGATATGGGGTGGTGAGTTGATATAAATTGCTCGAAAAAATGTTAAAATGTGTGCTGCTCATCCATTTGTAAACCAATTTTCAGTTTTATTTTTCTGTGAAGTAAAGCAACCAATAAGTGATGCATATAGCTGAGAAAGGCATGCATGTGGTGCAGTGCCTTCTTAACACATTACTTTTTTCAAAGTCCTTTTTTTCTTCTGATTTTGAAACTAAGGAAAAGTCCCCACCCTACAGCAAAGACAGTGGATATTCATGAAACAACATGCACTGGAAAAGAAACTACCATCAATTTACTGTTGATCCCAGGTAGTTTTGGGTTTCACCTATAACAACGCTTTTTTATAATTTTAAGAAAAGTGACAGGTGGTGAGTTGATATGCCATCAGGTGGTGAGTTGATATGCATGATAAAGGCTGATACCAGGCTGGTAGGCACGCAAATTAGCATGAAATATGGGTCTGCAGGTAAGACAAAGTCAATTAGACCAACTCCTCTCCTTTTCTTTCCCCACATCATTCCATCAACCCCCAAAAGCTTTAGTTTTTTTCTGAATGCTTGAGACGAGGCCTGTTAGTATCACTGATGTTAGTTGTCGGACTTTCGTCCCCGTCTTGAGTTAAGATGTTAGTTTCACAACGTTTCAGCCAGTAACTTCTCCGGCCGTAGTCAAATCTGCCTCGATAGTGGAGTGGTTACAACCGTGGACCATCACCGGGGAAACCCGAGCTCGATTCCCGCTGACTACAGGAGCTTTCGAACTGTTTGACGCGTACGGCGCAACGCCACCAACATCCAGGTCCTTCTGAGGGTCAAAGAACACCTGACGAGTAACGACGGCCGGAGAGTAACTGGCCGAAACGTTGTGAAACTAACATCTCAACTCAAGACGTGGACGAATGTCCGACAACTAACATCAGTAACCCCAAAGTTTTTTCTTTGGACATACCTAACGTGCAAAAGGCACAGCACAACTCCCTGTCAAGTCTCAAGATGACTCCCTACAAGCTACAAAGGAACACTATAGAACACCCATACTGGTATTTTTACATTTTGTGGACATAAGCATTTTTTGTTATTTTATGGACATTTAGAATTACATGCATATTTCCCTAACCCCTTTCAGGAGACCCTAGATATTACTATGGTACATTAAATGAAGTATGGGCCACACTTTGATGCCAAAGGAGTGCACAAATCTCTTCAAATAACAAAGAAGAATTTTTTATCATTCCATGGACAGAGGTCGGGTACAAAGGAACATTTTGTGGACAAGTGGGCGGAGCCTAATTTGTCCACGTTTATCCAACTACTACCTACAGGTTTTAAAGTTTCTTGATATTTTGTGGACATCAACGCCTTTCTATTTTACACGCCCCTCCGTGGTGAAATAACTACCTAGGTCATCGGACAAGATGACTCAAGGTCAGAATGCTTACAAAGCGTTTCCGGCGGATCGGGCTTATACCGGGCTTAGAAAGGTTGATATTTTACTGACGGGATAATCTGCTAAGAACCGATGCTCGGATCGAGAGAGAAAGGAAACCGAGGCTATCTGCTTCGTGTTGTTTGCCTAACCCATACCCAACTACATTCTATTTTGCAAAAAGCTTTCGATGTTTTACTCATCAAATCGAACAGAACGAACACTATTAAAAGTTGCTGATTATGTAAAGACATTTGTGGTATGAGGTTATCGGTGGAGCTAACAAATAACTTTACGAAAAATACTTGACCTTCAAGGATTAATATCAGTTTGACTTCAAGTCAGTGGTCAGGTCAGGTCAAAGTAGGTCATGTTGCATATCATTCTATCCGGAGTGACGAGAAAAGCATATTGGTGCCGTTTTCATTCGTGTATTACACTGATTGTTATGTGCAAAAAAAAATTACCATTGGCTTATCATGGGAGCGGGTCAAAAATTGACCTGACCCGCGGTCACGAAAAGGAGAAATCTGAGATAAAAGTTTTGCAGGTTTCCATACCTGTACTCGTATCATATAGGTACTGAAAGTTTCCAGTCATTCGGACTAACACTGTGTTCACAACGCGATCTGGAACTTCGATGCCGGTGCCAAGGCGACGTCAGCTCCTGTCAGCTCTGTAAGTCATCTATCTAAGTCTGCTCTGCTCTGTCTGTCAGCTCTGTCGACTGTCAGCTCCTGTCAGCTCTGTAAGTCATCTAAGTCTGCTCTGCTCTGCTCTGCTCTGCCCTGCCATACCGTGCTCTGCTCTGCTCTGTCAGCTCTGCTTTTCACTGCTCTGCTCTGTTGGCTCTGCTCCGCTCTGCTCTGTCTGCTCTGTCTGCTGTCTTGTCTGCGTGTCTTGTCTTCTGTCAGCCCTCTGCTCTGTTAGTCATCTCTCTAAGTCAGCTCTGCTCTGCTGCGCTCTGCTCGCTCGCTCTGCTCTCTGCTCCATAAGTCATCTCTCTAAGTCAGCTCTGCTCTGCCCTGCTCTGCTCTGTCAGCTCTGCTCTACACTACTCTGCTCTGTTAGCTCTGCTCCGCTCTCCTGTTAGCTCTGCTCCGCTCTGCTGTCTGCTCCGTCTTGTCTGCGTGTACATTATGAGCTGACCTGCCCGTGACCTCTCGCCGGCAGCACGCTGCATGGCCACGAGGAGTCGGTGTCGTGTCTGTCGTTCGGCGGCCCGGCCGGTGTGGTGGTCTCCGGTTTTCTGGGCGGCGAGCTGCGTCTGTACCGCCCCCGCTCGGGACGCACCACTGCTGGAGGGGCTGCTTAACTGTGAACACCCCCCCCCCCTCCCCACTCTAACTCAACTCTTGGACCACATACGGGTGTTCGGAGTATTAGAACGAGTATTGGAACATATTGATCCCTTAAGATACCTCTTCAAAAACTCTAGCTTGACCACCCAGAATATATATTTTTCTCTGAATACGCATAGCACTGGCACACACGCGGAGCTGCTTCCCATGCATACCCTTTCGGTAATATCACATGTGGGCCACACAAAGGGCGGGCCACGGGCGGCAAGCGGCGAGACCGCTGCTCTCTCAAGCTTCCCACATCATCAAGTGTCTGCGGGGTGACACGTCACCGTTCTCCAGGTGAACAATCAAATGATAATAGACATTTACCGGTACCTGCATGAGCCACTGGTCATTTCCTAAGGCGATCAACGTTACCAACTCGATTCTCGTTACCATCTCGATTCTCCGGGACACTTTATGCTGGCTTGAATAGCTGTAATGAAAGTGCATACCTTTAATCAGTTCAAGCCGACCGCACGAGTAGCCGGCAACAGAAAGAGAAAAAGAAAGAGAAAACTTCTACTAACAATGCACATTGCACGGTGTTCAAAACTTTCATTCGTGTAATAACTTTAAATGCACTTTCTCACTTATTTATCATGTAAGGGCAAATCCCTGATCATAGTCTTTCTTCCCCACTCAGCCGATTTTGCCACCCTTATCCCACTTATAAGTGACACTAATCAACCCTGCCCCAAAACCTCACGGTTATCCCGCACACCTCCCCGCCAGACAAGGAACGCACCTGAAGTGCCGTCATTTATCACACAGCGAACGGACATGAGTGTACTCGCCCCCTCTCTAGAGTGAATACTTCCCGATACATTCAAATTCACCCCGTGGCGAGGGGATCACAGCCAGACTCTACTCGGCTCAGCGGGGGACAGCTCTGACAGTCGTCCCGGACAGTGTCCAGAGCCGGCCCAGGGCCAGAGCCAGAGCCGGAGCCGGAGCCGGAGCCGGAGCCCCCGACCGAGCTCGGCCCCGCCCCCGCCCGACCCGTCCGCTCGGCCGTACATCGGTCACGTGTCGCACCTACCGGATCACTGCTGCTCGCCTCCGGCCCTGTACCCGGTGCAGGTGCACCAGCAGCTACCGTGCGCCGGCTCGGCTCCCCCGCAGCTCCGCCCGGGGAGAGCGGCGGCGCCGGTCCCGGCCGGGCGGCGCTCCGCTCCTCACGGGCAGGCCGGGAACCGCGCGGCACCGCCCGATCCCGGGCGGGCGGGCCGCTCGGCCGCCCGCCGCCCGGCGCGCCAGCCGCCTCCGCCGCCACCGGCGACCCACCCGGACTGCTATGCAGTGTGCACGATGCGCTGAAGGTGACACCAGTCCTGTATCCGGATGTTCTCGCCGCCTTTCACCTTCCTGCAGTAAACGTAGCCTCTCCTGGTAAAAACTGATGCCACCTTGGATCCTCATTCTTGTTTACGCGCAGTGAGTAGCAGATTGTACATGCGCTGGGACTCGGGTGTCAGAGACTCGCTGAGGTAAAGTGCTTCCATCTCCCAGCCACCTGACGCACTCCACCTGCCCGGTCGAGCACCGCCCCTCCGTCCGGCCAGCTCGAACCGTTGCTCAAACAGTTCGTCCCTCACTGTCCGTTTGACAAACTTGGCGATCACTTTACCATTCCCCTGAAGACGATGGGCGACCTGGATGTCACCTGTCGTTAATTTCAAGTCAGGGAAACGCTTGTTGAGCGCTTGCACCGTCATGAGCTCAATGTCCTCCCCGGGCTTCCTGTCACCGAATTCCTCACACGTGATGATAAGTGAGGACATGCGCCGGTTTCTGTTGATTCCGTCGACCTTTTCCTTAAGCTCCCTGGTCTCCTCTTTCTGGGATGTCATTTCCCGGCGGATCATCATGACATCTGTCTCCTGACATTCTGCCTCGAGGATCTCTATTCTCCGCTCCTACTGGGCGAGTCTCTTTTCCAGTGTCTCGATGATCCGAGCGTTGCCCGCCTCGATGAGCCGCTCGATGGCCGGCAGCGTCACCTCCGTCCGCGCGGCGGCCGGTTGGCGGGCATCGGTCGCCTAAGGGCGGGCTCGGTCACGTGGAGAGCGCGACTTGTGCCCGACCAGCTCGAATCCGACGCTGTAGACAGCGACAAAGCGCTTAATGCCCTTGACCAGCTGTGCGGGGCCGATGCGGTCCACGAAGCGGAACGGTCCGCCGGTGAATGGCGGGAAGCCGGGACCCAACACGCTGGCTCCAAAGTTGAGCCACGTCGAGACCTGTCAAAATGCGATACACTTAAGACTTACAACTGAGGCAACCACAATCACGAGCCATGAGTCACGTTAATGATGGCAATACGATTTATATAAATAAATAAATCTAAATAAATCAGGTTAACAATAAAAAATAGAGTTACATCCACCTTCACAGCTAACAAGGCGAATCTCTCGACGACGCCGGGTTCGTCTTCCATAGCCCATTCGGTGAGCCCCAGCAGCCGGGCGCCGTCCACAGAGCGGGCGGCGAACGGTATGCAAAGGAAAAAGGCAGGGCATGAATAAATAAGAATGATAAAGGGCAGGACAGACAGAGCAGAGCAGAGCAGAGCAGACAAAGCAGAGCTGACTTAGCGAGCAGAGCTGACAGGAGCTGACAGGAGTGGAAGGGAAGGGCAGGGCAGGGCAGAGAAGGGCAGACAGAGGCAGAAAGACAGAGGCAGGCTAACATTTTATTTTTATTGACTTAATAGCAAAATGGTATAACCAAAATCATTTTTACGAAATTTGAGATAGTCCCTAAACTGTAAAGTGCTAATGAACTTGTATTTGAAGTCAACGAAAACTTCGCTGGTGAGGCGTGCCCAGGGGCGCGGGAACTTCTTTCCGACTGGGGGGGCACACCATAATAGAGATCAACCTAGGGTACCCCCAAATCTAGTTTTCTCACCGGTTTTAGGTGAGAACTTATTTTTATTTTTATTATTATTTTTTATTATTATTTTTATTTTTCACCACTTATTTTTCACCCCTCGGCTTTTTCAACAAAAAAAGAAAACATTTGCAAAAAAGTGTGGTATTCCGTCTCAAAGCTGTGGGGGCACCGCCTCCACGGCCCCAGAGTTGGGGGGGGGGGGCAAACTGCCCCCACTGCCCCCCGGCTCCCGCGCCTATGGGCGTGCCGCGCTTAACATTGGCATAAGTTATGCTAGAAATTAAAATTAATGAAGTCAAAATCATTTTTGAAGGAATCTAAATAGTCCGCAGTACATGACCCACTTAACTTTGACCTAAGGAACGCTCTGCAAATTGACCGTGCCGCGCTTAGATTTTATGCTCATTGAATTGGGAAGGTCAAATTGTATAGTCAAATTGTTTTTAAGTAATTCTAAATAGTCCGCAGACCATTAAAGGGACCCTCCCACCTTCATAAAAGTTAATGAATTGACATAAAAGTGATATACCGTGAATCAGAAAGAGCGAAAATAAACATCTACCAAGTTTCACCCAAAAATATTCACCCGTTTTTTTTTTGACATAAGACTTTTATTTTTGCTTGAAAGCATAGGGCGCGTTCAAAGGGCTCATGACGTCATCAGAGTCTGTTAATGGTTAAGAGATAGGGACAAGCTAGTCCCACTCTGCAACTGAATGGAACAAATTTTTTCAACACCACGAAGCTGCGGGGGTTGCGACCAGGATAGATGGTGGTTTCTGAACCTGGCCGCAAACTAGGCTATCTCAACTCAAAACTAATGTTAAGGTGGGATGGCCACTTTAATATCGAATATCAATCTGAATCTGAATATGTTGCCAAATTGATGAAAATTCAGAGTCGTCGGTGTGGGGCCCTCAAGTCACCGGTGGGTGGCCGTCAGATGCGCAGGTGAGGAACCCTCAGAGGCGCCGGTGTTGAGCCCTCAGAGCCGCCGATTTGTAACCTTCAGAAACACTGTTAGTTGGGCCCTCAGGGGTGCCAGTGTTGGGCTCTCAGAGGTGGTAGTGTGGGGCCCTTAGAGGCACCGTGTGGAGCCTTCACAGTGGCCGTTATGGGGCCTTCATAGAAACTGGTGTGAGGCCACAGGCGGGTGTGGGACCCTTGAAGCTGCTGACCCCTAATAGGCCAGTAAGGACCCTAAGAGGCTGGTAAGTGCCCTGAGAGGCCGGTAAGGGGCCTGCAAAGAGCCCTCAGAAGCCGCCAAGGTGCCCTCAGGCCTCAGGGGTCACCAAGGGGCCCTGAGAGGCCGCCAAGGGGCCCTCAAAGGCCGCCAAGGGGCCCTCAGAGGCCGACAAAGGGCTCTAAGAAGCCGGTGTGGGGCTCTTATGCAGATTAGTGTGGCTATTTACGAGCCCATGAGGTGCTCTTGCGAGCCCTGTGTGAAAGACAGCGGTGAATGAGGCCTTTTTCTGGTCCCAGTCGGGTCCAAAAGATTTTGTTCTCCTTTACAAACTTGTACTCCGGCGCCCGAAACCTTTTAAGCTTTCCAGCCTGTGTCATGAAAAACTGCTATCATGAGTCATGACATTTGAAACGTGTCAGAGTAACACATTTTATCAGTTGTGTTGTCACATAGGCATAGGAACAGGGGGGGGGGGGGGGGCCGGCCATGGCTCCCACTTTTTCAGTCATTTTTTAAGTAAAATATTTATTTTTTATTTAAATACAAAACTAAACGTGTTCCGTCGCAAAATGTGTCGTAGCGAAAAAGGAGGGATGTTGAGGAAAGAGGGGCTTGTCGCCTGTCGGAGGATACGACAGAACGTAGCTGCGACAAGGCTTAAATACCCGCTTTACTCAAGAATTTAAAATGCTACACGATCAGCTGATCCCGTAGTAAACGTCAGTAAGGTCGAAACTCTTATCACGCATAAAGGACCATTCGCCCTTCTGGTTTGCGAGCTTATGAGACAGCCAGGTCAAGCATGTTCCCTGATTCTGAAGCTTTGTATCAACTGGGTGAGTTGTGGTTGCTAACGCTCACGTGATTTGGCATAAAATTTGGGATCGATCACAGGAGATGCGTGGCTATAGGGTATCCAGAAGCGGTGCTTTAGGAGAAATGAGTTCAGAGAGTTTGAGGTCACAGAGAGGTAAGTGAGTTGGAAATGGGGTTCACAACTGGAGGTTACAGAGGTCATCTGGGACACGTCAGGTCACAGAGGTCAACTTGGGGTCATCACAAAGCTCAATTGGAGACCACGGAGGTAATCTGAGACACGTCAGGTCACAGAGGTCAACTTGGGGTCATCATAGAGCTCAATTGGGGATCATCCGGGACACGTCAGGTCACAGAGATCAGCTTGGGGTCATCAAAGAGCTCAATTGGAGGTCACGGAGGTCATCTGGGACACGTCAGGTCACAGAGGTCAACTTGGAGTCATCACAGAGCTCTATTGGAGGTCATGGGGGTCATCTGGGACACGTCAAGTCACAGAGGTCAACTTGGGGTCATCACAGAGCTCAATTGAAGGTCATGTGGGGCATCTGGGACACGTCAGGTCACAGAGGTCAGCTTGGGGTCATCAAAGAGCTCAACTGGAGGTCACGGAGGTCATCTGGAATACGTCAAGTCACAGAGGTCAACTTGGGGTCATCACCGAGCTCAATTGAAGGTCATGTGGGGCATCTGGGACACGTCAGGTCACAGAGGTCAACTTGGGGTCATCAAAGAGCTCTATTGGAGGTCACGGAGGTCATCTGGGACACGTCAGGTCACAGAGGTTAGCTTGGGGTCATCACAGAGCTCTATTGGAGGTCACGTAAGTCATCTGGGACACGTCGGATTACAGAGGTCAACTTGGGGTCATCACAGAGCTCAATTGGAGGTCATCTGGGACACGTCAGGTGACAGAGGTCAACTTGGGGTCATTTGAGAGCTCAATTGGAGGTGACGGATGTCATCTGGGGCACGTCAGGTCACAGAGGTCAACTTGGCGTCATCACAGAGCTCTATTGGAGGCCACAAAGGTCAATTGGGACATCAGGTTACAGAGGTCAACTTAGGGTCATCTGTAACGTAACCATCCGGTGCTGCGGTTGATAGGTAGTTTAAAAAGCTGGCCGGTTCTCCGGGCAGATTTAATTATCCAGGACCAGAACCGAAAACGACAATTCCAACAATGGACCCTTCTGAGACGGAAGATTGCAAACGTGGACCCTCAGCGGCCAATTGGCGTCGCGATGCCCCTCGGGCCCGAGGAGCCCTCTGAATCCGATGGGGCACGTGCCCCTGCCCCTGGCTACGCCACTGGGTGCAAAGAGAATGCAATTGGCGTCGCGGAACACAATGCAATTGTTCCTGCTCCCGTCGCAAGGTGACCCATTCGATCCATAGCCCATAGTTGTCAACCCTGGGACCTGGGTCGGCAACATGCCGACAAGGAAATCAACTGTAGGAGCGTAAAAAGCAATTAAGAACCATTTGTTGTTACGTTTAGTAATAATAATTACTATGCCACACGTACTCGCCGTACCTACTGCCTGGAGCCGGCCGCCGCGCGGTCTCCACCAGTGACGTCACGCTAATGCTCAGCGACCGGTCCATTGGATGTTGCGGGATGATTCTACCTCTCTTATACGGCCTTGGTTTGGGGGACTTTACTTGAAAACTACTGACCAATTCCAATTCCGCTTTCAGATTCATCCTTCTATGTTCATGAGTAGCAAGAATAGTAGGTAGGTACTAAAAATCCATATTAGGTAAGCACCAATTTTTTCATATCCCCACTCTTTACTTTTTGCAGGCTGCAAGTCCCCAGAATTACTTAGTTATTTTCACCAGTGATTGAGCAAATAAAAAGGTAACTTCATAATTGGATTCAGGATGAAAAATAGCCATAGCAAAATGCTAAGAACAAAACCCAGCTAAATAGAATAACCTCAAGCCAATAGGTGGTCAGCCGAGCCATGTCGCTTCAGAGAATGGTTTTTGGGACCTTACTTGGAAACTAGTTGAACAACTTCAGTTCTGCTTTCATATTTGTGCTCCCCTGCTAATGTGCTAAAAAAAATATTATAATGAACTAGCATTTCCAGAAGTTTTTTTTTCAACACTCAATACCACAAGCTCGCCACAGTTCCATGTGTTCAAAACTCCAGCTGCCCAGGTATAATTGTCTCTGTTAAGTAATATTAGGCAAAGATTGAGAAAGTATTCTTCTCACAATTGCATGAGCTACAACATATTCCAAGAACATCTCAATTACAAATGAATATCAATTCAAATTACAGGCCATGCAATCCCTACACAGTTCACATGTGCCTTTGACACATAAGAATCAATGTTTTGTCTAAGGAGGTTAGATATTCTATCCAGGTGTTTTCTGCACACAGTGACATACAAACAATTTTCAAGTTAGTTGAAAGTGTGGTCACCAAGACAATGATAAACAGTCTACTCGGAAAAATGTTGAGTACAGGTGCAGATGGCAGGCAAGGTCACTCGTTACCAGCAGAGGAATGTGTGAAAACACAGGTACACCACCCAAACTTTGACAATTTCAACATCAACTACCAAATGTTCTCTTGAAGTTGGGAGGGCACTGCCCCGTGCTTTCAAAGTCGGAGGGCCAGCGCCCAGCTGCATCACTGTTCCCATGGGTGTGACAATTTGCATTTTGAGACAAATTCTGAAAACTTCTAGATTTTTCATTGACTTTCTACCAGCAAATTATTTATTTTTTGCCCAAGTTGGTGATCATTGCTCCCCCCCCCCGCTTTCAAAGTTGGGGAGCAACTGCCTTCGCCGCCCCCGTTCCATGTCTGTCCGCACACCAGGCATGTTCTTGTTGCCCAAAACAGAGTATCAAGGAAAGTTGAAACCTAGGCATTTGAAAATGTCTGTAATTAAATTACCTAACTTCTGACCTACATTGCCTGCTGGTTTAGGTACCATCCCTTCAATCGCATCATAGGTACGAATGGTATTCATCCATTGTTCTAGCAACATTTTCTGCCAAAATCCCGTCAAAACACTACCATCAACACTACCAACAGTACAGACACTACCAGGTGAATGGGTATTTTCAACTATTTTCCTTCTTGCAGCCCATTTGTTTCAGCCTGGTGGGTAGCTGGCCTGGACATTTCTGTTGCGTTACCTATCACTTTGCCCCCAATATTGAGATCATACAGATGTGCAAGTTCACAACTTACCTTTCTTTTCATATTCCTCTCCAACGAAATCAAATGACTCACTAATCTTCACTCCAGCGAAAATGCCGACTTCAACATACACCAATGCTGTGTCAAAAAACAGTAAGAAACTCGGCCTTGCACAATAACTGAAATTGAAATGGCGCATGGCCGGCGTCGTCTCAACGTCTCCCACATGTCGTTTCGCGAACAATAAGCCAGCTGTCTGCTATGACGTCACAAAATTTGTAAATATTCCTAACATTGCATGGACAAAGTTAGCAGAACAAGAGCACTGCGTGGACACGACTTCAACAACCAATCAAAAACGACCTTGCACAAGCTGACCAATCAGAGGCAGAGTAACATACTCGGTCGATTGGGGCGCCACGTGGTGTTAAAAAAAGCTATGACATCTTTGAGCGGGCTAAAATAGGTGTGAATTTATGGACACGACATCATGTCCATGAAAAGTCTGTCCATACGTCATGCAAACCATTGTCCACGGAGCGAAGCGAAACTACAGAAATAAATTCGTGGACATGACGATGTCCATGAATCCCATAATGTCCATGAAATTCAGGCGGGAACTCTAAATTGTCCACGGAATTAATACATTCCCAACGCAGGAATATATTCACTACGCCCGCTTTACGTACTTTGAGAGCCACCGGCACGCATGCATACATCTTGTCGGGGACATGCAGTCACTATATTTTCCCGCATTTAAAGTCGACGAGCTTAAATGCTTAGATATGCAATATTATGAAAAAATTCTAGCTACGCTAATAAGAATTAAATTTGCTGATCATACAAGAGGAAGTACCTAAACAAATATTGCTAATAATGCTCTTGATTTTTGCTTGGAGCATGACATTCCAAAGCCAAAAATGTAAACAATCGGCAGCAAGCCGCGCAGCACAGTTCAAGTTACTGGCGTGTGTGAGTTTTATTGGATTTTGAATTTATATTAATTTTTCTTCCAAGTTACTTCTCATTAAATATTGCTTTAATATTTGTTCACATCTTCTACGCAATTCTGGGGTGGTTCAGAGCAAATGTAAATAAAGCCGAACAAGAAATGGCATTACCTGAGGCACCTATCTAACTACCGATCACTGATCCGGCTAACTAACTTTCATCCGGCTGTGTCCCTAGTGGTTGGAAACACGCACTTGTTACTCCTAGCCCAAAGGGTAAAATCTCTGCCGACCCTTCTGATACGAGGCCTATTTCGCTGCTGCCGGCCATTATGAAGATAGTAGAACGCGTAGTCCAGTGTCAGTTGTCCGGTTATTTAGAGCAGCATGCACTTCTCGCGGACGCCCAGCACGGTTATCGCAAGTGTCGGTCGACCGAGACGGCACTCCACGTCGTTACCGATCGAGTACTCTGTGCCATGGATAGAGGCGAAATATCTGTGCTAGTTTTGCTCGATCTATCAAAATGTTTCGATGTTGTGCCGCATGCCACACTGTTAGCGAAGCTCGCCCTGTACGGCATTGATACGGACTGGTTCCGAAGCTATTTGTACGGCCATACCCAGCAAGTCCGCGTGAGCTCTATTGGGGGACGGCATCAGCTATCTAGGACTAGGGAGAATACCATCGGTGTGTTCCAGGGCGGTGCACTTAGCTGTATCATGTACATGCTGTTTGCGAACGATTTGAGCCTTGGACTGCCGAGTGACGTCACTACTGTTCAATATGCCGACGATACGCAGCTATTAGTATCCGGCAGCAAGCGTGACATCCAGCGAATCATCAGCAGCATGGAACACGCACTCAGCTATGTGTACAACTGGTTCTGTCACAACGGGATGAAGTTGAACACCAAGAAGACACAGATGGTTGTGCTGGGAACTCCCGCGATGCTCCGTACGCTGCCGCCTGTTGTTGTCCGCTTCTGTGGCAATGTTATAGCCGACTCGAGAGAGGTTAAAAACCTCGGTGTGTTCATTGATCGCCACCTTAGCTTTGAGACACATGTGACATACATCACAAGGAAGTGTACAGGCATATTGATAGGGTTATCTCATGCGCGCCATGTCATGCCAAAACAGACGCTGAAGGTGATTGTTGAGGCACTCGTCCTGTCCGTGGTTCGATACTGCCTATCCGTCTACGGCTCATGCGGAGTCACCCAGCGCGACCGTGTACAGAAGATAGTCAACTTCTGTGCCCGTGTAGTGACAGGGAAGCGCCGTTTCGACCATATTAGCGGTGAGATACAGCGGCTCCGTTGGCTCAAGGTAGAGCAGCTGATCGACTACCACACCGTGTGTGCGCTGGCGAGTGTTATCATGACTCAGCAGCCTGAGTACCTATGTGGAACTATTGGACCGAGATCGAGCCAAAGGCACACCTACAGAACGAGGCAAGCCGATCTATTCAGCCGCCCCAACATACGCACTGAATCCGGTAGGCGGAGAATGTGTTACCGTGGCGTGACACTGCTCAACGGTATAGGGGCAGATCCCTGTGAGCCCGGGTTCCGTAGAGCTGTCAGAGCGGTCGTCGGATCTGTGGATCCTCAGTGATGATCGGAGTGAGTTGATGCATGAGTGGTATGCGTATTGCGTGTGGAACGTGAATGTGGCCTAAATTCGTCCTTTTTGTACTTGTACACTGACGTGAAAGAGTGAAAAGCCATGGTGAGTGGACTTCTTTTGAATAAATCTGAATCTGAATCTGATGATAGCAAGGAGCACGGCAGACTAGCCGACAAGTTATCTGAAATATTAATTGAATCAAGTTTTAAATAATCGAAGGGGCTACCGACGACTTCAAATATGGAGAATATTTCGGAATCATTCGGCAGACTGAACCTGAACGGAAGCGGGAAGCCGGTGATAAATTGAATCATTTGGCCACAACACAAGAGAAATATGGACATTGGACAGCATATGGGTACTGCAAAGAAATAGTAAAAGTGGGCGATGAATATATATTACTGAACGGCTCTGGGAAAGAAAAATGGAAACCGAGGTCTTTAAAAAATTGTAGGCACGAGGCGTAGCCGAGTGCCGGAGATTTTTTGAAGACCGAGGTTTCCATTTTTCTTCCCAGAGCAAGTTCAGTAAGATATTTCCCATACGTCGTTTAATATCTATTCAGAAACTCACAATTTAATTATTGAAATCACCTTCTTTAAGATTTTTATCAAAAAATCACCAGAACTGTAGGTCATCAACCCGTGCCGGAAAACAGTGCAGGAAAGATCACGTGCAAATGTTTCCCGCACGGCTAGGATAATGCTAAAGGGATATCTCGGCGTATGGGAAAACGAATGTAATGAAGCGTTGTGACTTGTGATGCAACATGCTGGGCATGTCAATCAAGGCGTTGCTGGCTGGACTGGACTTCAGTTCTTCCTCTCGCCCTCACCAGCTATTTACTTCCTCTTCGGTAAAACGCTGTATAAAGAGCACGGTGTAATAATCACGGTGAGAAAGATTTGAAACGCTTTTGGACTTTTGTGTTATCAAAATACATTGTGAACTGTCGTTCTTTTTTAAGTGGAAAACTCAATGTAATCGGGAATGCGAATGAAAAAAGGAATTCCCTGTTGTGTTTCTGCATGATGGGGTGATTTTAATCGCAGTGATCCCACGATGAGATAAGCCTTATAAAAATAGCTGTTCTGGGGTTTAATTTCAATATGAGCCCTGACACATGATACCCTATATATCCAGCAAGAAATAACCATTATGACCTCTAAAACTTTTTGCGTAGCCAGTGGCATGTTTTTATCATACGTTGTATCAACGAAGTCATTAAATTTGTAACATTATCATGCAAAAAAATTGATATATGCCAAGCTGTTTCTCAAAGTATGCCACAAAAAGTAGCATACTTTCAATGCCAGCAAACTCGGCAAACAGCTGTTGAAAAAGCAGATCGGCGTACCAGAGGTACCTCAAATGTAATAGTATGCCAAAAAACGACGGACTTATGCAGTCATACTTTGTCTTGGTCTTGAATGAGTATCCCATTACGAAGTTTGGTGAAACTGAATATGTCCTAATATGCCAAAAGTGAATATGTACGCCGCCGTAATGGAATATATTCACTTGGTGAAATCGGGCCCAGGTAGGAATCAGGACACAAGCACGACAAATATAAGGTGTTCTGGTATTCGAGATGTCTGCAGAATATATGCGAAAATGTTTGAGAAAATGTACTTAACCACCTGCGAGTTGCTGTGACGTCAGCACTTGCTCTGTACTGCGTGTGCCAGCCCTGTTCAAAATTTGGTGCTACATAAATATGTGACGAATTTGTCAAATTCAACGTCTCCTAAGTTCAGCTAAGCTAGAACAATGTGACATCAGAGACCGCACTAGCAAGTGTAGTGCCAGTGTCACGTGACCCTATGTGGTGATCACCGCCACGTAACAATCTCTCCGTAACCTCTATCGTACCGGTATAGCCGCTCCTACGTAACCATTCCTACGTAACCGCCGCCACAGCTCCGCTTATAATATGTAGCCGGGTGTTAGTGTAAACACCAACAATCTCCGCGTGTGTTTACCCTCCTAATCTGTCGAGTGTCGTAAACAGCCGATACACGGGACAATACCTAACCCGTGCTTACATGTAGAAAGGGGATCATTGTACTCCCGGTGTTATGTCACTGTCGTTACTGTATTACAGATATAAAGCAGGCACGTTTGGTGATCACACACATGATCATCGCATATAAGCACGTAAACAAATACTCCAAGGACATTAGCTAGTTGCTACTGGCTGCTAAGCTACCCATAACTTATACGGCCTTGCCCATAACATCGATTGGAGTTGCATTAGGCAAACGGAATAACGGGAAGGAATGTATGCAAATCAGCACAGCCGCGCGGCACAAGCAAAGCTCATCAATGTTCATCACCGATAATTCAGACATACAATCCGATGCACACACTTTTTGATCTCCGCATGTGTACAAAATATTATAAAAGCTACATAGCTGTGAATTTATCGTTCAATATGTACATGGGTGGACATCTAAACCTACATAAAACTTGTTTCCAACGCAGTAGTATAAGTTCGCTGATGAGCTACAAAGCAGCGCCCACGTAGGACCTAACATTATACGCAATGTGCAATCTCCAGCAATGATATTTCACAAAATTCATTTGAAAGAAAGTAAACACCGCACAGTGCGTCATCCGCTCACTTCAGATTCCACAGATTAACCAGTGTGTTAGGTTCAATGATATGGCGCACTGTGGAGCCACACACACAGTTCCTGGTCCATGTTTGACGCCTCACTTGCAATGTACCTCGCTATCCCATTCACATCTTGTCCTTCTACCTGTGTATAAAGCACTCACGGAGTCACGAGACGTCCATGCTTTTTCGAACACGTATGTATGATGTCATAAATCAGTATAGTTTTGATCGGAATAATTGTGTTCGACCCCACCGTGTCCACCCGGTGCTGAAGGAGCGCAGCTTCACCAGCTCCCAGTTGGTGATGAAGCCCGGCAGACTGTCGTCCCATTTGTCCGTCACCTCGGCGTCTTGTGATGCGAGGGTGAACAAGCCTGCCGGCACCGGGTGGAGTATGACGTCATACGGGGACAAAATATGACATATGACGTCACTGA